AAGTTGAGGAAACTACGGGCTTGGAAAAGGGAGAGAAGCGGGCAGGAAGAAACAGTGTAGATATGTCCTCCTGTTCTATGTGTTTGATTCAAGCCCATAGGTAATCAAACTAAAACCATAAAATTAATTTCCAAACAGGAAAGAAAAATCAAAGAGGAAACTTCAGAAGAGTGCTCTCTGCTAGCCATTGGCTGTTTACTTGTATTCTTATATATTTTGGCACTGCTGACACAGTTTTCCCCATTCTGAGTGTGCTTTGTCACTTTGTTGCAACACAGGGCTGTTTTGGGGGGTTTTTGTAATGACATGTTTACTGTGTACAATTCATTTATGCTTTTTTTATCTTGCTGATGAATTGCAGACTTATTCAATTAAGCAAATAAACCGATTTCAATAACTTTGATAAGAAATTAGTAACTTCTCTTTGTACAATGTTGGCTATCTCATAATGTTCATATAAAACACCAAGGACATACTAGAGTGCACCTACCTTTTCTACCATTCAGGGCAAAACCACACCATTTACAGAACTGGTCTTCTCTTTAGAAAGAAAACTCATCAAAATCCTCTCCTAGGAATTTTTTTTTTTGTGTGTCAACTTTTAAGACAAATTTCTCAGTCTCCTAAAATACACCACCCAGTGGAGATCAGCTCCACTGAATCCCTTCCTGGAGCAAGTAGAGGGGCACAACAGGTTTGGGTTTATCCTCACCTGTATAGGGTGGAACTTGGTGACTGTTTTTAGGGCCTGAGGTCTGGATAGCATTTGCTATCAGTCAGTTCCTTGTTCTGGAAGCCTAACTGTAGTACGTATTGTTATACATATATGCTTTACAAAAACGTGCTCAGTCGATCGCATTTCTTCTTACCTGAGTTGGTTCACTTTTGATTATTGCATTGTTTTACTAAGGGATTGCTTGAGAACACAGAAGATACAATTTTTTAAAAATCCCTATTTTCTTTTTAACATTATGAAATGCAGCAACAAAAGAGACTTTCCAAAAAGCTATCTGTTCACCTGGCACAGAACAGAGTGCCAGGGAAGAGGTATCCCACCAAGCAGGGAAGAATTCCAGGGCACACCTGGCCTTTCTGCCTATTCACTATAAAAGCGTTTAGCTGGCATAGGTGTTCAAGGTCCAGATATAGCAAGCAAATACAACTAGCAACTCTAATCTTTAGTAAAAATCAGACATAGATGCAGATGTGCATGGAAGAGTGGTCTCAGTGTAAACATACTGAGTTTCTTAGTATTTTTACCTGACCCTGCTCATAATTTACGAGGATAATTTTTTTGTGATGCTTATCCCATGTAGTATATTTGCATATTGCATGTAATCATGGTAGACAAACAAATTGCTACAGTTCAAGAAAGAATAATAGGAGCAGTAAGAAACAGTGAAAGTCAGATGGAAGAAAAAAAAAGTTTTCAGAGAAAGTAGAAATTAGGAGAGAAAATTGCTGTTCTTCAAGTGAGAATTCCGTACATTAAGCCAAATCTAACCAAAACAACCTGTGAAAGTATGCTTTGGCAACACAGAGATGTACTCCACCATAGCCAAACAATGTCAGTTCATTTTCAAAGGCAGATTGAATTACGATACAGACAACTACTAGCATGATATTTATAAGCTGCTGCTTTAATTTTCATTAATGTTTAGGAGTTTAAAAACTTTTTTGGTGTTGTTCTGATTCAACAAGGGATTCTTACCTAGTCGTAAGCATGTGAATAGTTTCATTAAGTGCCATGGGAATACTCATGTGCTAAAAGTTAGATGTGATTAAATTCCTTGCTGATTTGAGGCCGATTAATTTAGTAGACTGTTTTAAAAAACATTTTAATAGATACATAGTATTAGGCCTTATGTTTACCCAGATGAGGTATGCCGACAAAAAACTGTTTGCCTTTGTCATGTGGGACTCATACAATAGTGTCTATTTCAGATAATTTCATTATTTTATTAATGATAAGTTACATCAAGTCTTTAAAGTAAACGGAGCTTGACAAATCTTCTGTGCATAACAGGACTGTAGAATTTTGCCTTTCTGACATTTTTTCCAATGATAGGACTACCCTAGCTGTGCCTTATGGGCTTCTCCAGGTTTTTACAACAGGTTAAACAGCAGTATGAGCATTGCTTTTGTTGTTTTTCCAGGGAGACAATCAAGTTGTTGGTCAGAGAGTCACAGAGCTTGCTGTAAATGTTGCTTGATACCTCTTCTAGGAAAACAAGATTTTGGCATAACTGAAACATTTAGCAAAAAGTTCCATAGCACTTTAGTGGTTTGAGGGTATTATTCTTGCTGGAAAATTGAAGGAAGTTGACATATATTGTCACTGGTTATAGAAAACTCAAAACTCATAATGATGGGAGAAATAATATATGGATCAGCATTATCTTGTATTTGTCAGGACCTGACTATTTATTCAAGTGCAGAGTTGCAGATTTCAGTGCCTAACTTCAGCTCTTAGAAGTTTAAGAGTTTTCACCAGTGCTTTCAAACACTCAAATGAGTCTAGAGGGAATTTGCTTCTCATAAGACTGTCTGAATGCAAAATGGGGTATTATGGCTCTCACAGGAGAATAGAAAAACATTATTCCTTATGGGTCTGTCACATTTTTAGAAAAAGCTTCATTTTTAAAAGGCATGAATTGTTGACTGTGCATTTTTACGTAGTTCATATTCTTTGTTATTCCTGGCAGACCAAAAAAACGCTTCTGAAACATATTATGCCCAATTTAGACTCATAAGCAAGGCAGGTATGGAATGGAGGATTCTGGTCTCTTGTAGAGAGGGAAAAAAAAGGCTTTGAACTAGGAGAATCTAAAAGGAGAATGAAGGAAAAAAAATAAATGTCCTTACAACCATTTTATAAAAAAGATACCTGAAAAAGCTTGAGAAGATGTGGAGAAGAGCCACAAAAAAATACTCCCACATGGAGAACTGCAGCTGTATCTGGCTGATGGAAGAGAAGGTTATGGAGTGACATGGTCATAATGTATAATCATCCTTCCAAGAAGAAATGAGCAGGTCTTAAAGATCTCTTTAATTTGGTAGGAAAAAAAGGAAAAAGATAAACAATGGCTGAAAGTTAAACTTGGTAAAAGATCAGGTATTTAGTTTGAACAATGAGCATAATAAATCTAGCAGCATTAGCTAGAAAAGGTACTTTTCCCTTTGATTAGCTAGAGTCTGGAATTGCTAAACATGCAGGCTAAATATTTTCTGATCGAAACCAGAGTGGAGTCAGTAATTGGTTAATACTCTGTAGATGGCTTATTAATTTTATTGGCAGATTGGACAAGTCTTTTTTTGCTCTTTATTTGGGTAATCTGTTGTTTTACATAAGTCGAGTCCTAGATACTCAGAAATCAGTAAGTTATTTTTCTGTCAGAAAATTGCATCATCCGTGTTCTTCCTTTGTTAAAACACAGATACATACACTCTTTGATACCATCAAGCAGTGGTCTCCACAGTGGGACGTGTGCACCCCAAGGGCTGTTCAAGACAGTCTATTGGGGTACAGGAAGAAAATATTTTTTTGTAAATAAACACTTTTTAAAGGATTTTTTTTATTATTATTTCATCCATCATCCTTCTTTAATATCTATTTCTGTGTATGTTGCCTAATGTACATAACGTATTGCTAGAGTAGTACGTGTGTACAATTTGTAAGTAGATACATATACAAACATTGGGAGTGCATGCTCAAAAATGTTTTACTGATAGGGGTGCACCATCAAAAAGGTTTGGAGACCACTGCCTTAAAGCAAGACATCAGAGCAACGTGGTGATGCTAACCTTCAGAGCTGTTGCTGTGGCCATTTTCTGATGACATCTTTTCAAAGATTGCTCTCCCTCTTTTCACACTAGACTCCTGAGAAATGACAGAATGGCTTCCAGGCCGACTCTTCAGTGTTGATGAAAGTGAACTCTCACTTTCTGTTTCCTGTTAAAGACACCAAGAGGATGTGTGTTAAAAGCTATTGGTAGGAAACAGATGTGAGTTTTGTGGGGAGGAGAGCGTATGAAGAGGCAGCAGATTGGAAGGAGGTGCTATACTGGGGGAGATGTTCTCCAGAATACCATAGGGTAAATTTCTGTAGCACTGCAGGCTGTGGATTCATGTGTGCTGCCCAGCTTATAGTTCAACAGACAGTGATGCTTGGCAGTTTTCTTTTGCCATTTCTTGGATGTGGATTCTTCCATGACAGAAGAGCAGTGGTGGTAAGGATCACAACAAAAAACACCAGTTGCTCATTTAAACAGTATTTGTACATAGAGAAGTTGACAGAGGGAATTTTATTAATTTCATTTACGGAATGTAAGAATATGTAAAAATAAGAAATGTAAGAATATATAAAAATAAGAAATGATGGCTTGGAGACCAGAGGTATATGGGCATTTAGCTTATGACAATAGTGGGTAAATGTTTCGTACAGATAGTTTACACAGTATCATTAGTATCCCATCATCACACTATGGCCTCAGCCCTTCAAGGCAAAATGAGTAAATTATTGCTAAGGAAGACTTTATTAGGTCAAAGCTGGTGTTTTGGGGTGCTTCTCCTTCCTTCCATGCAACATGCTCTTCAGTGCGGAGTTGGACACAAGGGCTCTAAAATCTCAACTACAGCTCTTCCATTAAGTAAATAACTAAAACAGTTCAAGTAGAAAAAGTACGCTTTTTTTTTTTATTTTGCAAGGAAATAACATGAAAGGTCCATGGAGCGTCCACTTCCACTCTCTCTGTAGAAGAGGTGCCAATATCCATAAAGAGAGCAGGTGGTTGATCTGGTGACTGCAAATATCTCTCCAGCAAGATTTTGCAGAACTTATTTGCCAGAGCCCTTAATTGTTTAAATGGCATACATTTTCAAAATGTACTGCCTTCATTAGACTACTTCCTTTGTATTGTTTGCAGACAGCTTTATTAGTGTATACCAGTTTAATGCTACCCTTGTATATGATCTCACTGAAGTAACTCCTAACTGCTTTTAGATTTAGTTATTACATGTGGTGTGTAAGAAGCAGCAAAATTTGACCCCCGAATTAATTATCCTAGATTGGGGAGTATTTTCCAGTAACTATAGAAAAAAAGAAAAATAAAAAAAAATACTTTTTAATGCAGTGCAACTTAATGAATCCTCAAACAGAACTCTTACAAAGAAAATAATATCAAATAAATTGTAAAAGCTATTTTTGCAGTAACATATAATCAATTACACATTCGCCTTGAATTTTATGAAACTAACAGTGAACAAACATTGGAAAGATACTTTTAAAATGAATGCATCATTAGCAATCAAGAACAATTGTACTTCACCCATCTTTAACAAATTTATGTTTTTTTTATAGCTACTGATAGTTTTTTGTCTTAAATATATGCTGTACTTCATTTCTTGACCTGTAGCCATTTTTTGCAAGAATATTCCTTCCAGTTCATGTACAATAGGTTGTGTCTTGTGGAAATTCATAATTTTATAACAATCTGTCTACTTCTTTGAGTTACAGCAGCTTTTGCTTGAGATTAGCTGAAAGATTTTTGCATGATGTGTCAGCATTGAAGCAAATTAGACTGATTAGACCATAGAGGCTAAAGATGTTTTATCACCATGAGTACTGTAAATCCTTTTTTTGGGAAAAAATATGTCTATGTATCGCCAGTCAACAGTTACCTTGTCGCATCAGTCTCTCCTCACCCTCTCCCCTCCCCCAAAAGAGCACTGCTGATACTGCTTATATGGAATTGAACTTGAAAGGTAATCTGGAATACAGTGGATAATTTTAGCAGGTAGGCCAGGAGGTACAATCAACACAATGGAAAACTTGAACGTGCCTAGATTTAAAGGCAGTGTAGGGGATCTTAACCAGTAGTGTTGTGTTTGTTGCCTTTTATTTAGCAGGCTTACAGGAGATAATTGGTCTAAAACTAATTTGAATTATTCTCTAATTGCTTTTACAGTTAGCAGCACATTTTCCTTGGCTATTATGGAAAGCATTTTTGGAGGTTAATAGTAAAAGAAAGATTTCTGGAGTGGAGAAAGTGTCTGTCTTTCTGCTCCGTGACACTTCATAGAATAGAATCGAATCATAGAATCATAGAATC